GAAATGGCATCCTAAGGGGGAAATATTGTAACTGTAATTTACAAGTAGTAAGTGAGTGAACAGTTCAAAAAGAGATCAAAGAATATCTACTTGATGTAGCTATAAGCAAATCTGCAGAACTCAACCTACATGAAATGTTTTGCTACATTTCAATGGATGCAAGACTATCCATGCTGTAAGTTTGTTTTATTAAGGCAAAAACATTTACATTTCTCTTGAGCTATCATGATCATTTTGTAACCCTCTCCTGTAGTTGTATAAATATGCCCTGTCTTTAAAATTAAAATTGATTGCTTTATTGTACCAACTGAATTTTTTCCTGGAACTCATAAGTAACTGGTGTAGAAGTTCAAAATTAGTAGCACAATGTAAAATACATGCTTAAATTTCATGGTATTGGTATTAGGAAATACATCTGCTGGAGATTTTCTTCTGTTAATCATGATGTCATCAGACCCATCTAGTGAAAGAGAATTTTGAGATGTATCCTACTTCATGTTTGAATTTTGTCAACCTGCTAATACATTTCATAAGGTCAATATCCATATCTGTTTCTTTAAAAGTTGATTATGTCAACTAGTACAATGTCGAGCAGAGTCTTATGTTTTAGTACATTTCTTAAACTTTCCCTATAATTTAAGTACTGATTACTTAATGGGTAACATAGTTTGATGGTTTGATGGGATAATATAGGCAATTTGTAGATGTATAAATAGCTTGCCTAGAATTCACTTTTATGCATTTCCTTAATTCATGGAATGTGTGGTGAACAGCATTGGCTTAATGATTTCTTTACATGCCATTATCTTTTATCTTTCCAAAGAACTAGGGTGTGTTGTGTCTAATAGATCTTTAGCTGGAGTGAAAGTCTTCCAGTCCTTGTTTGACATTTCATGACTTGGTGAGAACTTTAAAAGACTATTGTGCTTTGTTTTTCAATTCACCATCTGTTTTTGCTATAATACATGTTTCTGAAAAAAAAATTAGCTTCTACGTGATCAGTAAATAAGGGAGTTAGGTCTCTATATTTTGGAAGTGACATCCAGTTCATATGCAACTTTTCCTAGATAAGAACAGCCAGAAAAACAGGAATAAAATTATAACCTTGAAGGGAGAGGAAAAACCCCTCAGTTTAGCTGCTGCACTGGAAGCAGAATCTGTTCCAACTTTGTTTTTTAATATGTTTGGTACATTAGTTTTTAAGACAAGTGCAGTAACATCTCTGTTTATTGATTTGGAAAGTATGTTCTCGGGCGCCTGGGTGGCTCAGTTGGTTAAGCGACTGCCTTCGGCTCAGGTCATGATCCTGGAGTCCC